GCTGAGGAATGCCTAGTCACTGCCTTCTTGTGACGGAGGTGTTTTCCCACCAAAGTGAGAGGACTAAAGACCAACATCCGGGGATATAACCGGGTTCACCTAGGGGAGTTGACCAAATACCCTGATTCCAAACCAACCAAGAGGAGGTGTGCAAACCACGCACACTTTCACGGTTGTGTCAGAGGTCACCGGCTCATTGGGGCCTCGAGGCGTATTGGGCACTTTGTACGTTGGACCCTGTCCAAAGGGCGAATGATCCGATGAACTGGACATCGGCCCCCAATGAATAACGGTTTTCGCAAACCGCCCGCTGCCTTTCGGGTCAGGCTTTGGCTAACCGAAGGCTCCGGTTGGGAGTTCCTCAACGTAATTCACCTGCCTTGGCCTGGGCAACCTGGCAGTATTCCACCCACATGCAACTCACGGGATGTCTTTCTTTTTCATAAAGATTATTGTACCATGATTTGTTTGGCACACAGTCTGACCTCAGACGGGTGTGAAATATAATATATAACATAGGTGACTTGAAAACGCGTTACGTTCGACGTACAGATAGAAGTTTCCCTTGCATCATCACATCAAGCAAATACTCAGCTGTCTTCTATTCCGTTGACCGCACTCGCCCATATTTTAGTGACGAACGCGCAGTTTGGACGACCAAATTGAACAAAGCTATGGAAGAGAACAAGATACTTCAGGACGAGTTGGACAACTTGCGACGGAATTCGAACTCATACTCCGGCCACTTCTCTGTCACAAAATCAACGACAGCTACCACACCAACACAAGTGACAGAATTTTCTTTCCAGTCGGTAAGCATGCACTGATATTGCCCCACATCAGACGCAACGTATCTGATATAATACCCACTTATGTCACTGCATCTGTTAGCCGTATGCCAATAAAATGTACAATTTCGCGATTTTAATGACGGTTGCTGGCGCATCAGTTGTAAGATAACAGAGTCACAGGAGAGAATGCAACTTTATTTAATTAATAAAATGACTCATGGACTTTATACAGGAATTGTACTTTCGTGTCGTTCATGTTCCATTTGCCCTGCTTCATTTTTGAGCACTGCAGGCAGTCGCTTTAGCATGGAATTCACCAAGTTGACTGCCATACAGAATTTGCAAGTTTCCTCTAATACACCGCACACCCTTACCACTGGCGATCAATGACAAGGTAGCTAATTTATCCCTGTTTCAGTTAGAAGGAAATGTTTTCGATTAAATGAAAATCCCAGCTGCTGCGCGGTAATAGAACGAATTTGACATTGAACTTGACCCCTCTAGAAACTGCATGAACGTGAAAAAATATTTATTTAGGTCTAGCCGTTTTCTACCACCAACCTCAAGTGAGTTGATATACCAAACTTCATGTGTGGAAAGTGGCTTCCGCGAATGCATGTTGGGAGTGACAGTTATCAAAAACCTCCCTTATCAGTGCAAGAAAGTTTACTTTGTCCATATTGGCGTATGCAGGAGACCAACAGCAATGCGCTCAATATTCACTTCTCTTTCAACTCGTTAGGCGGGATAGATATTTACTTCTTTTGACAGGTAAAAGATATTCATTAGAAAACTAGCTCAGTAGATCAGCTTTCACAATATGCTGAATTACTCGTTGGCCACCAGTGAGATAAAAATAGCTAATCAGCCCGGACTATCCTACAGAGTGGTTTTGTGCAACTCTTCTCTGCTGCGATCAAATACAACCATCGTCTTACTCGGACATGGCTGGTTTTCTCCCTCTCGGCTTATGTCTTGATGGAGAAATTTCGTTGAATATGTTATAAATTGGACTTATGTTCAAATTGAAGCACTTCCACAAGACACCAACTGAATCATCAGATCTATGTGCTTCTCGATTAAGTTGCCTCGCAGCTTCAATCATATGCCAAAACCTTTTGAAAGTTTCATCCGGTTTAGGCATGGTGACACTCCAGGAAGCTTATTCAACGAGCCGCACACCTCAAGCTCAACTTTCGAAGATCAACTTGTGTGTTTCTTGGACTATGTTTTCAGTTCTTCCAGTATTGTAGATAATGGGTGAGTAGTTTGTAGCCAAATAATTTATCAACTTACTTAAGCTAGAATATTTTCATTAATTTGCTTATTTACTGTGCACTGAATGGAAAGATAAGCAATTTACAATACATGTGCTCAACTTAATAAACAATCTCATGGGACAGGAATCATCTTTTAAAAAGAATGAATTCCCATGCTGCTTTGCCTAAAATATTTTCCAAATCAGAGCTGTAACTTTTGAACTACTACAAATTTTATCGTGACACTCAAGGTCACGCAAATCCAAACGGTGACAGAAAAGAACTAAAAGCATAGATGTTGGAGATAAAGTCAGTAATAAATACATTTAACTCATAGTCATCTATATATAAGTATGATATTGCAAGCTGAAATGGATTTCCAAAATGGGAGTGATGTTGCTCGAGTTTGGTCAACAACTGTATATAAAATGGGACGTTTAGCAACAGATCAACTGATCAAACTGTTTGCTAATAAAGTGAATACTTGATTTAACGCTGGTTTAAATTATTTACATGTTGTTTCTCGCAGTTCTACATTTATCATAATACAAATAAAGGTTATGGTGTTACTGTGAATTCATGGTTCGTCCCAAATGCTCCCAAATAACTTGCGTTTAGTGCATTTTTGATGGCTGCCCCACTCACCATCTTCCTACAACCAGTGTACTTCCGCTGTGAGAGTAAGGAATTACATTTGCCTCAATGCGTCTTGCTCCTTTGAAGAGATGATCCTACTTCATTGAATATTTCACATTACACCCACCGACGAAGGATAATCGAAGCTGTCTTGTGCATCTATTCATTATTCTATTCTATTCGGTCTATATAAATGCGCTAACTTCTTAAATCTGCTGCCAACATTATAATCTTCATTCTACTGTTTTATCCCAATGGAAAACCAAAACTGGCGCATGAAAGTGCATGGTTAATGGTTGTAAGAACTGAACTGAACGGAATCGAAGCTAGGGTTAACACAAATAGAAATTCACTTCTAGACCCGGTGACATTTTGAAGACTGACCACAACTCAAACATTCAAGATACTATTTACCAGTGCCAGGCGACGTTTATCACTTTCCATCACAGCGCGAGTAGTAGCCCTAGCATAGTGAGCGAGAAATATTATTTCTTACAAGTTCCGCAAACGAGTGGCGTGAAATATGATTTGTGTGACTGCTATGGACAAATTTGCTGGTAAATAGCCTCGCTTAGTTTTCGCCCGCAGACCTAACCAGATACGCACATTTAGTGACTCAGTTTTCAGTTAGATTTAGAAATTTTCCGTGGCTTCATTTCACTCTTTGATCTCTTCTAATGTTTTATTTTCAAAATTGTCCCCCCCCCCAACCCCTTGCCATCATGGATTTAACAGCCTCGTCATCCATCCAATCGAATGCAAGGGGATGGAGCGGATAATGTCCCCGATGAATTCGACACACCTTCTGGTTCCCGCTATAGCTCCGGATCGTCTAGCCTTCTAGATGGACGACGTAAACTCAGCGGCACAACCCGAGTAAGCTTTCGGCGTCGCATGGAAAAATGTCAGTTATTTAGGGTCAACTTGATTGTAGAAACAAGTGATACAACCAAGATTGAAACAGCGGTCCAGTTCCTCACCGTTTTCCAGTTAGCGTTTCCTTTACTCTATTCACGACGAGATTTGCTCCGGAAACGATTTCGATCTGTCACCCCACTGTATGACCGAGATATAACCACTGAAGTTCATTGCGCTAGGATATATAT